AACCGCATCCAGTAAATCTCCTGCAGCATGTAAAATGCGAAACCCTTAAACTTTTCCAACAAGACAAAATAATCTACATCGCTCAACAACTAAGCATGCCTGAGCTGTATTGCCTAGCATAGTTGGTTGTTGTCCAAAATGTTTGCAAAAACCTTGAAGTCAAAACCCATGCATCCTAAACTTGAGTACAGCCTTGGAAACCAGAATTGTCTGTGAAAGCCGTATTATTGCAGTAGCACGAACCTTTGGCCCACTCGCCCACCACGGAGATTGTCACTCGCAACCCTAAACCCTGAACCCAAACCCGAAGGACTACAGCCAAACCACCTCAATCCTGTGCCGTACGGTTGATGATACAAATCCTGCATTACCCAAAATAAGGATATACCATAATTCCCATAGTTTAGGGTCCTCAAGGAAATGCAGGGTTCATATCACCAACAGCATTATCCTAAACCCTAAACCCTAAGCCCCTAAACCTTATAGGATATACATATAATTACATATATATATATATACATCATCATCAGCAGTATATGGACCACCATCCCAAATCCCTAAACCCTCCCATCCTAGTATCGGAACTCGGAACCCGAACATGGACGTTTCAAGGAAACCTTGAAGGAACCTTTACGGTTGGGGGGTTTAGGTTTCGGGCTAGGGGTTTAGGGTTTAGGGGTTTAGGGGTTTGGGGTTTAGGGTTTAGGATCCAGGGTTTAGGATTTAGGGTTGAGGGTCGAGGGTTTGGGGTTTAGGGTTTAGGGTTTAGGCCTTCACACGAACCGTTAAGAGAACTTTAAAGAAGGGGCCAGCACTGGAGTTGGTGGCCCGGATCGCGCCGCGGCATCCGCTTTTTGGCGTCGCGGCGGGGGCACCCGAATATTGGTTCGGGAGCGTGTTTTGTTGCTGCTGGACATGGGTTTTAGGGATGTTTCGGGTTTCTTCATGTGTTTTATTTTTTAATGGTGGCTCGGCTTGTAGAATCTATTCGGGTTTACGCTTTCGTTTTGAAATCCTCGGGACTCGGGTTTGATTCTGGGTTTAGGGTTTAGGGTTTAGGGTTTAGGGTTTAGGGTTCTGGCAGTTCTGGATGAAGCAGCTTACTGAAAGGGTCCTGTAAGGTTCTTCAGAGTTCTTTGGGGGCTGCGATTCAGGTTTGAGCCTTTCAAGGGTGAAGGTAACGCAGGGTTTCCGGAAAACACATAAGGGTTCAGGGTTTAGGGTTAAGGGTTTAAGTTTAGGGTTTAGGGTTTAGGGCACACGTAGATGCACTGAACAGAGAATGTACAGAAGAACAAACCAAATGCTTGCTACATAATGATGTGAAATGTGAGGAATAGTCTAACGAATGCAAGCTGTGAGGGCAAAAAGCATCGAGGGCAAAAAGCATCCGCAATAAAGACGGTCAGTTGAAAACAAGCTAAAGATACGCAAAGAAAGACAAATCGATTCCAGCACTGTGCTCAAGGCTACAGCATGACACAAAACAACTATGCCCGACTGCTTTTCCCTCGCAGGTGTTAAGGGCTTAAGAACTTTAGAACTACCGTTCCTAGGGTTTTGGGTTGAAGGGTTCAGGGTTTTACGATTTCATCTGCTTAAGATTTATGTTGCCGAGTTTAGGGTGATAGGGCCTTAGGGGCTTTAAGGCTTGCGTTCAATGTGGGGGTTTCCGAAAATAGGGGACCCTAATATAGTGCCGAAATAGTAGGATCCTTATGATAAGGAGCCCAAAATAAGGTACCCCCTATCTTCGGAAACTCGCAAGTGCTTGGGGGTGCAGGGTTTTTTTTGGGCTTCGGTCGAAAAGCCGAGAACCCGTGGTCTGGGAAGCATTCCTGAACCCTCAGTAGGGTTTAGGGTTTAGGGTTTAGGGTTTAGGGTTTAGGGTTTAGGGTTTAGGGTTCTCTCAGCCAAGAGCACCACAAACTGCCACTACTTGGAGGTTCATGGGTAGTTGTAGGTGGCGTTATAAGTCCCCTAATATAATCTGGGTTAGAAGTATAGTTACCGTACCTATACCCCCATTTATAACTACCCAGAAACTGCCACTAGATCATAGACTCTAAACGAAATCTAGAATCGGACGAGGATGCAGTCGCAAAACGGGGCTCCAAAAGAACACACCCTTTGCGTTTCAGGATCTGCCCCGGAAACCTTCGCGTTCGAAGTGTCAACAGCAGCCAAGTAATTACACCGAAGCCTGCACGATACGAGATGCCATGCCTTTCGGGTTCAGGGTTTAGGGTTTATGGTGTAGGGTTTAGGATTTGGAAAAGCTATCTGGGAGTTTCCGAAAATAGGGGGGGGGGGTAGCTTATTTTGGGCTCCTTATCATAAGGATCCTAGTATTTCGGGTACTATATTAGGGTCCCCTATTTTCGGAAACCATGTTTCTAAGGGGGCATATATAAAGGACAGCATAATCAGCCATTGAAAGGCAAAGCCTTAAAGCTTCATCGATCAGGCTGCTATGGCGCTGGTGGCCCCCTTCCGAGCTTCTTAGGGTTTAGGGTTTAGGGTTTAGGGTTTAGGCTTACATCTTGCGACTTGCGAGATAGCGGTGCGATCTTATCATGGTCCTCACCGTGCTGATTATGAGGGATAGGAGCTGCAACCTCCGTAGACACATTCACGCTGGGATGGTCAAAACGCAGAAATCATGGCGGTTGCCATGATGAGCATGGACAATGTATGTATCGTTGTCAGTGCGGCCATGTGGAAGATTACCTTTCTCATTACTCGCTTCGCTATGTTCATAGCCAACATGCTGTCGCCAACATGTTGTCGACTTCTCGGCGTGGTAGTGCTACCGTCTTCATCGTTGCGGTTGTTGCTGTCGTTTTCGAGCAACAACTGCGCCGCGGCCGTAATAACCTCAAGACGACAAGGACGACAACGACCCCCGAGGTGGCTATTAAGACCCAAAACCCAAAAGCCAAAACCCTAAACCCTAAACCCTAAACCCTAAACTTCGGAGGCAGGCAAGATTCGGCAGGAGGGTCTGTGGCCGACGGCTCGATGCCACCTCGAACGATCGAAATTGCTCGAAAAGGTGATCACATTAGTTTTTCGTTTGCCTAGGTTTTGCACGTTCGAAGAAGTTACCCTAAACCCTAAAACCCTATCCCTAAACCCTAAGCCCTAAAACCCTAAACCGTGAGGGACCCTGAAACCCAAACCCTCAGTCATAAACCCTACTCGTGAGCACACCAACCTTAAGCCGTAGTGAAACTTAAGCCCGAAGCCATAGTTTGCAAACATAAAGCCGCATGGGTAGTTCTCTAAACTAGGGTCCCTTTTGGGGGTCCTTTTTATAAGGGTGCCGTACTGTATTGCGGACTTAAAAAGGGACCCTAATTTAGAAAACTACCCACATACAGAATGCCAACTCGCGATCCTTGGGAAGGCCCATAGGCACCGCAAACTACCCTAAACCCGAAACACACGCCTTAATCCGAGTCAATCTGCCAAGGCAGCCCTGGGTGTGCTGGTGGCCTTCATCATCCTGCAGGCGCTAGTCTTTGCTCTACCAAATATAGGGGCCTTAGTAATTTGAATAGGGTTTTGGGGCCCATGATACTAGAATTTGAATTAGGAACCCCCCCCAAATAGTATCGGTAAGTTTTTAGGCGGTGAACGAGGAGAGTAGAAGAAGGAAGGGCTCTTGCTCCTCCAACCCTAAACCCTAAACCCTAAACCCTAAACCTTAAACCCTAAACCCGAAACCCGAAACCTTTCTCCTCGTCTTCTCCTCGTCTTCGTCGCCATCGTCGTCGCTCGCTTAGCAACAACAGCCGCCGCTCCCCAAAAAACCTTAATTTAGTGTTCAGCGTTGATGGTTGAGGGTTTAGTGTGGTTTAGCGTTTAGGGTTTAGGGACCCTGGCAAAGATAAAAGAGTGTCTTCTGTTTGCGAGTTTCTTGGACGAGGCCTCATTCTGATTGCTTATGGGGCTTTGGGTTTAGGATTTTGGGTTCAACACTCCTGAAGCCCAGATATAAGTATCTAGGACGCACTTGCGAGTGCTACTGTAAGCACAAGTCGTAGGCCGCAAGTCTTCAGCACGTCACAGAATCCAACACCTCAAACCCCAGACCCTAAATCCCAAACGCCAAACCTGAACGTTAAAATCCGCAAAAACCTACATCCTTAAACCTAAGCCAAAAACCGAAGGTTCAAGCCTACACCTAAACCTAAATCCCAAGAACTAAACCCTAAAGTATGGTTGTAAGTACTTTCATTGAAGTTATAAGTAATTATCAGTATAGTCACCCCAATAGTAACCCTACTCTCCAAGTCCCACGATCCCTTGAGTAGAGCCTAAACCCTAAACCCTTCTCAGGGAACCCGAAGCTCAGCTCTAAATCGTGAACCCTAATTTCAGGCGGTTTTCTCACCCGCCAGGCTCGCGCCGGCGGCGGTTTTTTCAGCCGAAAGCCTCGCTGTAAGGCCCCAGAGAACGCTGCCGTGCTTCTTTTCAGGAGTTCCTTTCAAGGTTTAGGGTTTAGGCATTAGGGCTTCCTTTGAGGAGTTCCCTTATAGGGGTTCTGCGAGGGTTTTACATAAGGGTCTTTTATGAGTTCGTTGAAGGACTCCAAATGTTTCGGATTTTTGGATGTTTTGGGGCTGTAGGACTTTAGGGACTCAGAGTCGGCATCGACGGGACCCTCTTACACAGCTGCACTGATTTATCATGTCGTAGCAGTAGGTCTGGTTCTGGTCTGAAGGATGCGTAGGTTAGTGTGGGGGGATGCAAGATCCAGAATTGGTGCATGCCCACGAGTCAACTTGCCGAATCCACGACTTGCGCACGATGCAAAAGCTTCCTCCTTCGATGCGTGTGGTGCATGCCGCCATTTTCAGCTGCACCGATCTACAGATCCGGGAATCCGCATCTCTGCTCCAGTGCTCCTATCACAGCCTGGGGCCTACGCCTGCTTCGGTAGAGGCTAGTAGTGCCGGAGGTGTCGTGTCTGTCCAGGGCTCTCTCGTGCTGAGGTTCACTTTGTGGCTTCGAGATGCCTCTTCCGCCCATCTCCGTTGCCTTCGCCGAGGACATCGAGCAGGGCGAGGCCAGGAAGCCCCCTTCAGAGGCTGCAGCCACGGCAGAGGATGCCAGTGCCGTCGCAGAGACACCCGAAGCCGGGGGTGAGGACTCGGGCACTTTGCCAGACGGCACAAAGACCTCGGATGCCCCGCAGGCACCGGATTCGGAAGGGCAGGAAAAAGAGGAGAAAGCAGAAGCAGATGAAGTGGAGGACGCGGAGCAGGCAGAAGCGGGGGAGGCAGAGGAGGCTGAGGCCGCAGGCAGGCGCAAGCGCAGGCAGGGCCTGCGTGCGCGCGTGCTGGCGGAGCTGAAGTCCACGAGTCCCTGCGACCTGAAGGCACGCCTCGAGTCCCAGCTCATCCAGCAGGATGCCCTGATCGCCGCGGCTCAGGAAGTCGAGGCCGGAAAGCAGAAGCTGGTGGACGCGGCCCTGGCGGAGGTGGACCGCCTGAGCCAGGCAGTGAGGGAGGCAACGGAGAAGGAGGAGACGGCCTTGGGCCACGCCGAGAAGCTGCGGAAGCGCAAGAAGGAGGCCGCGAAGGAGTGCTCAGAGCGCCAGAAGGAGGTGCAGCACCACGAGGATCTGTACCTTGAACCCTAAAGCCCTGTACGCCCGAAGCCCGAAACCCTAAACTCTAAATCCTTATCTCTAGACCCTAAACCCTAATCCTTAAACCCTAAACTCCTCAACCCAAACCCTAAACCCGAAGCCCCTAAACCCTAAACCCTAAACCCGAAACCCCCAAACCCGCAAAAACCCTAAACCCCCAAAAACCCTAAGCCCCAGGATCTGCTGTTTCTTTTGGGCTTCGAAGTGGAGCGGCGCCGAAAGCTCCGGGAGGCGGAGAAGAGCATGGAGTCAGAGAAGGACGGCTTATGTTCCCAAATTACCCCAAGCTTTACACCTTTTTTGGGGGTTCTTATAACTTAGGGTTTAGGGTTTAGGAGAGAAGGACGGCTTAGGTTCCCGAATTACACCCAACATTTACGCTTTTTGGAGGTTCTTATAGGGTTTAGGGTTTAGGGTTTATAAGCTTAGGGTTTAGGCTTTGGGGTTTAGGGTTTAGGGCTTGGGGTTTAGGTTTTGGGTTTAGGGTTTTGGGTTTAGGGGTTAGGGACGGTTTAGGGTTCAGGGTTTCCTTGGCCTATTGGGGAAGCAAGGACGCCAAGCGCCAGAAGATCTTGGAGCTGCTGCAAGTAGCCGTGCCCTCGGCGTTTAGGGTTCCTTTGAATTTTCAGGCGGGTAGCTACCGTTATAGGAGCCTTATAGAAGGTCTATATACCTTATAGAAGCCTTCTAGAAGCCCTATATACCCTAAACTCCCCACCTGTAGTTTCCTTTAACGTAGGGTTTACGGTTCAGGGTGCCTTTGAAGCTTAGGGTATGGGCCTCAACATGACGTCAGAATGTGCATGAATGTCGCAAGCATGCGAAAGCTCCCGAGAAGCCCAAGCCTCTATCCCGTACATCATAGAGGGATCTTTCGGAGGATCTGATATCAAGTCCGTGCTGAAGTTCGCGTTCAGTGAGGTTTTCAAACCCGAAACCATTAAATCAAAAGCCCACAACACTTCACAGACACCCATAGAAGTCGCAGGGCAGCTTTCCAGCAAGTCGGTAGAGCACCTGCAGGCCTCAC